AGATACTCTACAGAGATACCTAATTGGTATAAAACTATAAACAGCAACACTTTTTTGAAACTTTGCTGGGCTCTAAAAAAAAAAGAAATCTACTGGTGGAGGGTAGGGAGAAGGAGAGACGAAAGGGTGAGCACAGTTAAAAAGAAACTAAGGGTGAAATAATTGGAAAAGAAGAAAATGTTGCTATTTATATTATTTACATAAAAAATCCAAAAGAATTTAAAGATTATTAGAATCAATAAGAACATTTAAAAAGACAGTTGTCTATAATATTACTATCTAAAAGTATTTCTCTACCCGGCAACAAACAAAATAAAATTTTTAAAACACACGATCTAGTATTGTGGAAGCCCCAAAAAGAGTCTGCTGGAATACTTTGCTTCCCTAATCTTCCTATGCTCATATGAGCCCTTTAGAATTCAATTACTTTCATATTTCTCCCCCAAATTTCAGGTTTAAAAAAAGAGTTTAATATTTTTTATTAAAGACCAATCTTAAAAGTTTCTCTTACAACATCTTTCCTGTACCAAGAGTTCTTATTTAGCACTTACATTTTATCTTCCCAGCCATTCATTCTATAATAACTCATTGGCATTTAACTATATACATTACAAAGTTATTTGCTTGCCATTTCCTGTCCTCTCCATTTCCCTCTATCTTGGAAAGTTTCTAATCTGACTGATTTGGTGTTTAATTAAGAGCCCTTCTGGAAGATTTTTCTGTTATGATATCCTTGCATGTCCCTGTATCTTCCTTTCATCTTACCAGTACATGTTTTCTTGACTAGGTCTCTTCCTATCAGTAATCTATAGATGTTATTCCACTGCCTTACAGTTTCTGGTGTTGACAATAAAGAGTCTGCGATCTGGTTTTTTCCTTTGTAAGTAATATATTCTTACTGAAAGCTTCTAAGATTTTCTTTTATATTTGATAGTCTTCTGAGATTCTCCCAGATGTCTTGTTCCTGCACATAAATTCAGCTTCAAACTTGGTAAATCTACACACATCTTTGTTCAGCTCAAAGGAAATGTTTCTATTTTTAGTTCAATTATTGTTTGTCCTCTATTTGGTCTTTTTTCCTCCTCTGTGACTCCTGATATTTGTATGTGAAGTCCACTAAGTCTCTCTTCTTTCTCTGCAGGGTGTTTTTGCTTTGCATTTTGAGGTATCTCTTGACTTGAACTTCTGGTGTTAACAGTAACCATCCAATCCTTCAACCTTTTTTTTTTTAATTCAAAACACAATCTTTGTGTAGTTCCAGAAAGAATTTTTCATGCTATCATTCAATGTCTTAAGTAGTTGTATTTATTTAGCAAGGTATTTTCTGTTCTCTTCAGCAATTTTTTTCACTGAAAGCTGCTCTACTGGCTGTTTTGTTTATGCTTTCTGTGTCTGGATATTAGATCCTCTTAGCTACACTATATTTTTTCTGTCTCCTCATTGCTCTGTTCACCCCTAGAGATGTTAAATCATGGCAACCTTGCCAGCAGTAGCAAGTGCAGTGGTTTCTGCCCTATGGGCAGGTAATGTATCAGACTTAACCAGTCACTGAATCCATTGTGGGACATAAAGAAGTCTCCCTGGTCTCCTCAGGGTCCCAGCCTCAAGGGGAGGAAACACCTATCTCATCTATTAAATCACCCTGTTGAGGTCCTCAGATCTCCATGGGCCAAGCTCTCCCCAGGAACTTCTGAGTATTTATTCTTTCTCCAGTGCACTCTACTGGCCCCATTCTGTCACCTGGCCCAGGGGGGAACAAAGTCCTTTATAAGCTTCTCAGTTACCTCTCATAGAATCAGTGCCTTGCTTATTCCTTCCAAGTCCTGCCCGCCTGCCACCCTTATAGCTGCTCCACTCAGGGAAGTTTGCTGGTAGTTGGAAAGGGAGGACAGCAAGGAAATAACTCCCAACACTCCCCTTCCCAAAAACCCCCTCTAGCCTTCAAATAAGTGGAAAATATTCCAATTTGCCAACTGAATATTTCCAGGAATGTTAAATACTCTACAGAGATACCTAATTGGTATAAAACTATAAACAGCAACACTTTTTTGAAACTTTGCTGGGCTCTAAAAAAAAAAGAAATCTACTGGTGGAGGGTAGGGAGAAGGAGAGACGAAAGGGTGAGCACAGTTAAAAAGAAACTAAGGGTGAAATAATTGGAAAAGAAGAAAATGTTGCTATTTATATTATTTACATAAAAAATCCAAAAGAATTTAAAGATTATTAGAATCAATAAGAACATTTAAAAAGACAGTTGTCTATAATATTACTATCTAAAAGTATTTCTCTACCCGGCAACAAACAAAATAAAATTTTTAAAACACACGATCTAGTATTGTGGAAGCCCCAAAAAGAGTCTGCTGGAATACTTTGCTTCCCTAATCTTCCTATGCTCATATGAGCCCTTTAGAATTCAATTACTTTCATATTTCTCCCCCAAATTTCAGGTTTAAAAAAAGAGTTTAATATTTTTTATTAGAGACCAATCTTAAAAGTTTCTCTTACAACATCTTTCCTGTACCAAGAGTTCTTATTTAGCACTTACATTTTATCTTCCCAGCCATTCATTCTATAATAACTCATTGGCATTTAACTATATACATTACAAAGTTATTTGCTTGCCATTTCCTGTCCTCTCCATTTCCCTCTATCTTGGAAAGTTTCTAATCTGACTGATTTGGTGTTTAATTAAGAGCCCTTCTGGAAGATTTTTCTGTTATGATATCCTTGCATGTCCCTGTATCTTCCTTTCATCTTACCAGTACATGTTTTCTTGACTAGGTCTCTTCCTATCAGTAATCTATAGATGTTATTCCACTGCCTTACAGTTTCTGGTGTTGACAATAAAGAGTCTGCGATCTGGTTTTTTCCTTTGTAAGTAATATATTCTTACTGAAAGCTTCTAAGATTTTCTTTTATATTTGATAGTCTTCTGAGATTCTCCCAGATGTCTTGTTCCTGCACATAAATTCAGCTTCAAACTTGGTAAATCTACACACATCTTTGTTCAGCTCAAAGGAAATGTTTCTATTTTTAGTTCAATTATTGTTTGTCCTCTATTTGGTCTTTTTTCCTCCTCTGTGACTCCTGATATTTGTATGTGAAGTCCACTAAGTCTCTCTTCTTTCTCTGCAGGGTGTTTTTGCTTTGCATTTTGAGGTATCTCTTGACTTGAACTTCTGGTGTTAACAGTAACCATCCAATCCTTCAACCTTTTTTTTTTTAATTCAAAACACAATCTTTGTGTAGTTCCAGAAAGAATTTTTCATGCTATCATTCAATGTCTTAAGTAGTTGTATTTATTTAGCAAGGTATTTTCTGTTCTCTTCAGCAATTTTTTTCACTGAAAGCTGCTCTACTGGCTGTTTTGTTTATGCTTTCTGTGTCTGGATATTAGATCCTCTTAGCTACACTATATTTTTTCTGTCTCCTCATTGCTCTGTTCACCCCTAGAGATGTTAAATCATGGCAACCTTGCCAGCAGTAGCAAGTGCAGTGGTTTCTGCCCTATGGGCAGGTAATGTATCAGACTTAACCAGTCACTGAATCCATTGTGGGACATAAAGAAGTCTCCCTGGTCTCCTCAGGGTCCCAGCCTCAAGGGGAGGAAACACCTATCTCATCTATTAAATCACCCTGTTGAGGTCCTCAGATCTCCATGGGCCAAGCTCTCCCCAGGAACTTCTGAGTATTTATTCTTTCTCCAGTGCACTCTACTGGCCCCATTCTGTCACCTGGCCCAGGGGGGAACAAAGTCCTTTATAAGCTTCTCAGTTACCTCTCATAGAATCAGTGCCTTGCTTATTCCTTCCAAGTCCTGCCCGCCTGCCACCCTTATAGCTGCTCCACTCAGGGAAGTTTGCTGGTAGTTGGAAAGGGAGGACAGCAAGGAAATAACTCCCAACACTCCCCTTCCCAAAAACCCCCTCTAGCCTTCAAATAAGTGGAAAATATTCCAATTTGCCAACTGAATATTTCCAGGAATGTTAAATGTGAAGATACTTTCAAAAGGAATCCAAAAATATCATTCATTCACTAAATATCTGAGTGACCACCATGTGCAGGGCACTCTCCCAGAACTAGAAATATCTTAAGGACTTTCCTTGGAAAGGGGCCACAATAACATGTTTAAGTTCTGACATTAGTTGTAATAAAGGTCCTGTTAAGTTCTTAAAAAGTGAAATAAAAAAATGGTTCCCACTATATATTCTCTTCACCATTAAACATACTTTTCCAGGAGAGGATTGCCATTTAGATTTAAGATGAAAGAAGTTAGGGTTTTCACAGGCATTTTCTATTAAATATATGGAAAAACATATAATGAAATTAACTGTCTTTAAAACTTTTTCCTGCTTTAAACTATTATGATATCTAGGTGGAGAATAAGAACCACAGGAAGGGAAGAAAGGCTCTCCCTTTCTGTCACTTTTGCCGGGTCTCCCTCATTTTCATACAGCATATTCCCTAGCCTGCACGCCATCAGCTTCGGCCATACATTAACTCTACAGCTGTACGCAAAGCCCAACCATATGCAGATTCCTCTGTCATGGGATTTAGGCACTTTGTGATCTCAGAAGTATTCATGTGAAATTACAGATAAGTCAGCTTTTAATAAAAAAAAAAAGGCATAAGAATATACCTTTGAATATTTAGAATTTAGTTCTAAAGATACCAAAGATAAGGATGGGGAAAAGGTCAAGGAAGAGCAGATGGCTTCCTGCTGGCTTTCCTGAGACTCTGCAAGTATTCCAGTGTTAATGTTTCTAGCATGGCAATCAGCTGAAAAGTCTGTCATGTCATCCAAGTCAAAGCCAGATGACTGAAAAGAGCCTTGTATGTACAGTAAAAAGTTTAACTTATTTCCCAACAGAAAGACTGAGAGTCTACCCACTCCCACCCCTCCCTGCAGCCACCGCTCCCTGCAGCCACCCGGCATGCATCTTAAGATTGTCAGGGACAAAAAGTGCAAATGCAATAAATGTATTTTTTTAAGTACATACCTGTTTTAGGCCATAATGCATTGACTGCGATTTCACCTTTAAATTCTTCTGCCATTCCAAGCACACACATAGACATACCATACTTAGCAATGGTATAAGCTGAAAGAAATCACAAAGAATATTACTTAAGAAACAAGTTACTTTGTGAGAATAACCAATTTCTTTCACTGACTATATATAATATGTACAAAACATAATTTTTAAAATGTACTGTTTTTAAAAGAACAGTTTTTAATGGAAGTAGCTAAACAGGAATAAAATAGTTTTATACATTTCCATCCATACATTTTATTATAAGAAAAGAAACTAATAAACTTTCATATTTCTTAATACTACATGGATATTACATTATTGTTTATTAATCTGTTCTTTTTTTTCTTTCAAAGATTTAAAGTCATCATTTAAAGGGAAACTACTGCTAATAAAATAACAACAACAAAGGCTGCAAATTCCTTTAAGCCAGTCATTTAAAAAAGAACTTCTTTCAATTTTCCTCTGTGGGTTTCTATTCTAACTGCCTGTCCAAAGTTTAGTGAAATATGTAGAAATAAGGACTAAGTATCTCATACAACTATTTTAAAAGAAGCACCTACACAAAAATCATGTTATTTAGCATACTCAACTTAGTTTGCTGTGAAAGGTAAAGTATTTCATGGATCATTTTTAACTAACTTTATTGAAGAATAAGTTACATATAATAAAACATACCAATTGGGACTTGAGCAAGCTTTCTGGGATGATGGAAACCCATTTCTTTTTTTTTTTTTTTAACTCACTTAAGATTTATTAGTATATGTGGATACACTGCAATAGTGATGTTTTGATAGGTAAAGCCTCCTTCATCGCTTAGCAATGTCCCCCTCTCCCCATCCCACATAAGCTCCTGTTTGTACATACCTGCAAAAGCCTACATATTAATTCCGTAACAGACACACAAAACTTGAAATCCAGACTTTAGACCACAATGTAAGGGTGATTTCTACTTGACTGGACAGTAAGCTTCCTTTTCTTCAACTCTCCACTGTCATTACAAGGCTGTAGGTACCTGCCCTTATAATTGAGGGTGCAATGGGGAGCATGGTGCACTGCCTTACAGCAGAAATCAGTCACAGACCCCAAACTACCACCTCTATGGACACATTACTAACCTCTGAGTTTGGATATAATCAAACCCAAAATGCAATTTGAATTTCACAGACATCTGCTTTATAATGTAGTTAATAATTAATATAGGTTGATAGACTGAAGATGTCAGTTGTTGGAAACCATTTCTTGATCTGTTGGTTATATAGATGTATGTATTACATTTTTCAATACTCATCAGACCAAACCATTAAGACCTGTGCATTTTACTGAATGTAAATTATACCTGAATTTTTACAATTACAGATAAAAGATTAAGACTCTACTTTCCAAAATGCTATTGATTCTGCATCGAAAATTTGATGTTGAAAGCTATGTAAAAATGTGATTACATTATAGACACACTGATTTAATACAAAACAAATAAATCAAACAGATCATTTCTTCATCCTACCACCTACCACAGTGCTGTTTGAACCACAGCGGATTTAAGTTCAGTGGAGGGCTGAGATTGAGGATATGAGCAACGTTACTCTTTTTCAAATAAGGAATACATGCTTTAGATCTGAAAGCAAAAGAAAACACAAGTTTAGTTAATAGCTAACAACTTCCCCACTTTTTAAAGTTATATTTTAAACCATTTCTACAGAGCAATTGAACTTGTCCTGTAATCTGTAGGGGACTTTGGTTTGTTTTTTACTTTTCTAGAATGAGGAAAAGAAAAGCAACTAATCTTCTTCCTCAGAAGCTTTGCTTAGTGGCCTGATGAGAATCATGAAATCCTTGGCACATTAGCCTTAAACCCAGCGGAGGTTATCCTCAACTACATCCTTCCAAGTTCTTCCTCCCCAACACACACATACAATGCATAATTTTCAGTAACAGTTAATGTCCTTGTCAGCCAGCACTGGCAGCACTGGTAAAGACACACAGGTGTTCAAGTCAAACAGACTTGGGTTCAAATCCTCCCCCGCTCCTTCATTGTGTGATCTTAGGCAAAATATAGAATTCTCAGTTTCCTTATTTGTCAATGTTGGTAATACTTGCTACAACCAATCTAGGATTGACCAAGAAATTAAAATGAGATGATAGATATGAGATACTTAGAATAGTAAATATACTGAACATGAAATAAACAACTGCTATTATTAGTATCATATATGCTGATTTATTTCAACTTAGTAGGTGTGGTATTCCTTCTACATGGGAACTGTAATTTAATAACATACCTTCCAATACACCAAATTTAATTTGTACCAATATGTAATGCAATATGCCTTTGGGAGTAATACTTGTTTTTTATGGGTATGTGAACTGTTCCTAAAGGTAGGCAATTCATTTTACAAAGGACTCAGGTGCAATATCTTAAAATGTTTAATTATTAAGCTATATCAGATTATTGCTTAATAACAGGTTGTAGCTTAATAATTTACAGCTTTTAGTTTTCATATTAAAATTCTTTAGGACTTTGAACTAGTACATTCTTCTTTCAAGTCAGTTTTTTATTGCCGAATGTACAATATTCATGTTACCATGTGCAATATCTTTTCAACTTTATAAGCCAAATTTAATCAATACCATTAAAGGATCTTTATATATGTTGTTTTTCCTTTCCAAAGGTGCTCCACTTTTAGGAGGGTGAGGTGAGGAGGGATGAATAATATTCCAGTTGATATTCATTAAAGCAGTGAAACTTCACCTTAAAGCACCAATAAATGAAACAAATCTACTCCATGCAGTAAGACCATATTTTAAACTCAAAAGAAAATCTCATTTCATTTACATTATAAACATGAACTTCTCTTTTGATCTATTAGACCAAACTATTCTACCTGCGCTTTGCCCACCTGGCCCTTGGCATTACTAATCCTAAATTGGGTGAATTTTTCACAGCAACATGCCCTATCATATATATTATATTGAAAACTCAGCACCACAATTAGATGCTAATATCTCCCCCATAAAAGAGTTGTTTATCAAAAACTTATTACGTGCCATTTATTGCCTTTTTTTTGGTATCATTAATATACAATCACATGAGCAACATTGTGGTTACTAGATTCCCCCATTATCAAGAACCCACCACATACCCCATTACAATCATTGTCCATCAGCATACTAAGACGCTATAGAGTCACTACTTGTCTTCTCTATGCTATTCTGCCTTCCCTGTGCCCCCCTCTACGTTGTGTGTGCTAATTGTAATGCTCCTTATTCCCCTTATCCCGCCCTTCCCTCCCACCTTCCCCAGACCCTTTCCCTTTGGTAACTGTTAGTCCATTCTTGGGTTCTGTGATTCTGCTGCTGCTTTGTTCCTGCAGTTTTTGCTTTGTTCTTATGCCCCACAGATGAATGAAATCATTTGGTACTTGTCTTTCTCTGCCTGGCTTATTTTACTGAGCATAATACCTTCTGGCTCCATCCATGTTGTTGCAAATGCTAGGATTTGTTTTCTTCTTATGGCTGAATAATATTCCATTGTGTATATGTACCACATCTTATTTATCCATTCATCTACTGACGGACACTTAGGTTACTTCCATTTCTTGGCAATTGTAAATAGTGCTGCAATAAATATAGGGGTGCATGTGTCTTTTTCAAATTGGGCTCCTGCATTCTTAGGGTAAATTCCTAGGAGTGGAATTCCTGAGTCAAATGGTATTTCTATTTTGAGTTTTTTGAGGAACCTCCATATTGGTTTCCACAATGATTGAACTAGTTTACATTCCCACCAACAGTGTAGGAGAGTTCCCCTTTCTCCCCATTCTTGCCAGCATTTGTTGTCCCTAGTCTTTTCTATGTTGGCCATCCTAATTGGTGTGAGGTGGTATCTCATTGTCATTTTAACTTGCATTTCCCTGATCATTAGCAGTGTGGAGCATCTTTTCATGTGCTTGTTGGCCATCTGAATTTCTTCTTTGGAGAAGTGTCTGTTCATATCCTCCAACCATTTTTTAATAGGGTTACTTGCTTTTTGGTTGTTGAGGTGTGTGAGTTCTTCATATATTTTGGATATTAACCTCTTGTCAGGTATGTCATGAAAAAACATGTTCTCCCATACTGTACAGTGCCTTTTTGTTCTGCTGATGGTGTCCTTTGCTGTACAGAAGCTTTTTAGCATGATGTAGTCCCATTTGTTCATTTATGATTTTGTTTCCCTTGCCCCAGGAGATGCGTCCAGGAAAAAGTTGCTCATGTTTATATTTAAGAGATTTTTGCCTATGTTTTCTTCTAAGATTTTTGTGGTTTCATGACTTACATTTAGGTCTTTGATCCATTTTGAGTTTACTTTTGTGTATGGGGTTAGACAATAATCCAGTTTCATTCTCTTGCGTGTAGCTGTTCAGTTTTGCCAACAGCAGTTGTTCTTCAGGCTGTCATTTCCCCATTGTATGTGCATAGCTCCTTTATCATATATTAATTGACCATATATGCTTGGGTTTATATCTGGGCTCTCTAGTCTGTTCTATTGGTCTATGGGTCTGTTGTTGTGCCAATACCAAATTGTCTTGATTACTGTGTCTTTGTAGTAGAGCTTGAATTCAGGGAGCGTAATTCCCTGTGCTTTACTCTTCCTTCTTAGGATTGCTTTGGCTACTCAGGTCTTTTGTAATTCCATATGAATTTTAGAACAATTTGCTCTATTTCATTGAAGAATGCTATTGGTATTTTGATAGGGATTGCATTAAATCTGTAGATTGCTTTAGGCATGATGGCCATTTTGACAATATTAATTCTTCCTATCCATGAGCATGGAATGTGTTTCCATTTATTAGTATCTTCTTTAATTTCTCTCATGAGTGTCTTGTAGTGTTCAGAGTATAGGTCTTTCACTTCCTTGGTTAGGTTTATTCCTAGGTATTTTATTCTTTTTGATGCAATTATGAATGGAATTGTTTTCCTGATTTTCTGCTAGTTCTTCGTTAGTGTATAGGAATGCAACAGATTTCTGTGATTTATCTTGTATCCCGCAACTTTGCTGGATTCAGATATTAAATCTAGTAGTTTTGGAGTGGATTCTTTAGGGTTTTTTATGTACAATATCGTGTCATCTGCAAACAGGGACAATTTGACTTCTGCCTTGCCAATCTAGATGCCTTTTATTTCTTTGTGTTGTCTGGTTGCCATGGCTAGGACCTCCAGTACTATGTTGAATGGAAGTGGGAAAAGTGGGCATCCTTGTCTTGTTCCTCATCTTAAAGGAAAAGCTTTCAGCTTCTCACTGTTAAGTATAGTATTGGCTGTGGGTTTGTCATATGTGGCCTTTATTATGTTGAGGTGCTTGCCCTCTGTACCCATTTTGTTGAGTTTTTATCATGAATGGATGTTGAATTTTGTCAAATGCTTTTTCATCATCTATGGAGATGATCATGTGGTTTTGTCCTTTTTGTTGATGTGGTGGATGATGTTGATGGATTTTCGAATGTGGTACTATCTTTGCATCCCTGGAGTAAATCCTACTTCATCGTGATGGATGATCTTTTTGATGTATTTTTGAATTAGGTTTACTAACATTTTGTTGAGTATTTTTGCATCTATGTTCATCAGGGATATTGGTCTGTAATTTTCTTTTTTTGTGGTGTCTTTGCCTGGTTTTGGTATTAGAGTGATGCTGGCCTCACACAATGAGTTTGGAAGTATTCCCTCCTCTTCTATTTTTTGGAAAACTTTAAGGAGAATGGGTATTAGGTCTTCACTAAGTGTTTGATAAAACTCAGCGGTGAAGTCATCTGGTGCAGGAGTTTTGTTCTTAGGTAGTTTTTTGATTACCAGTTCGATTTCATTGCTGGTAATTGGCCTGTTCAGATTATCTATTTCTTCCTTCGTCAGCCTTGAAAGGTTGTATTTTTCTAGAAAGTTGTCCATTTCTTCTAGGTTATCCAGTTTGTTAACATATAATTTTCATAGTAATCTCTAATAATTCTTTGTATTTCTGTGATGTCCGTCATGATTTTGCCTTTGTCATTTCTGAGTCTGTTTATGTATGTAAACTCTCTTTTTTTCTTGATAAGACTGGCTAGGGGGTTATCTATTTTGTTAATTTTCTCAAAGAACCAACTATTGTTTTCATTGATTCTTTCTATTGGTTTATTCTTCTCAATTTTATTTATTTCTGCTCTAATCTTTATTATGTCCCTCCTTCTACTGACTTTGGGCCTCATTTGTTCTTCTTTTTCTAGTTCCATTAATTGTGAGTTTAGACTACTTATATGGGATTTTTCTTTTTTCCTGAGGTAGGCCTGTATTGCAATATATTTTCCTCTTAGCACAGCCTTGGCTGCGTTCCACAGATTTTAAATGTTGAATTATTGCTGTCATTTGTCTCCATATATTGCTTGATCTCTGTTTTTATTTGGTCATTGAGCCATTTGTTATTTAGGAGCATGTCGTAAAGCCTCCATGTGTTTGTGGGATTTTTCATTTTCTTTGCATAATTTATTTCTAGTTTCATACCTTTGTGGTCTGAGAAACTGGTTGGTACAATTTCAATCTTTTTCAATTTACTGAGGCTCTTTTTGTGGCCTAGTATATAATCTATTCTTGAAAATGTTCCATGTGCACTTG